AAGAAAGAATGAAGGAATGTGGGATTTTTTGGCATTTATAATTAAAAGATCTAAACATTAAACAACAAAATTATATTCAAATATTTTTCTTAATTAAAAAAAGAATAGGTTCCTAATTTTCCAACAAATTAATGTAGATTTCTGTATTCATTTTGCCTGGCTCAAAGCATATTTTGAACTTGCCTTTTGATGAAAATGCAATGCCCATACCATGAATGATCCACCACCATGAACGCGTTTATGGTATGCCTAACGTGGACATCTCAAATTCCACCAATATTTATGGAGATCGTCTGGTCCGTCACTGAAAACCACAGATTCGAATTCTCGATTTTGATATTTAAGATATAAATATTTTCTTAGTATTTGATGCACACATTGTTTAATCACATCTAGGCCAAGTTCCGCTTTTAATTGGTTGCTAGCTGCTGAATGCGAATTTTGCTCCTGTCATCTATGGTACATATACGAACACTATGCTTAGTAACTATGGTGTTATCTGGATTTTTCTGAAAGTTTGTTATTGTTTACAGTAAAAGCAATTTCAATGGTCGAAACTGTTTGTTTTTCTTGGCTATAGTACCCTTCACAGGTGAATTTCTTATAAGTAATAGCATAAAGGTATAAAAAAATCTTTATTTTGATGTTAAGCGGTTTGTTGTATGGCAGCTATACGTTGTAGTGATTCGATCTGAAAATCTTCTTTGGAGATTTTAGCAATGCTTTAAAATCTATCTATGCCAAATTTCGCGAAGAAACGTTGTCAAAGTAAAAGGTTTTCCATACAAGGACTTAAGTTTGATCGTTGGGTTTGTATGGCAGCTTTATATTATAGTTATCCGAAATCGAGATTTCCGATAAATGACCAGCTTCTTTGTGAAAAAAGATTGTGTGCGAAATTTCGAATCGATATCTCAAAAACTTTTTAGTCATATTCAGACCGACATGGATAAATCGACTGCGCTCATCGTGCTGATCATATTTTATAGGGTCTCCAATATTTGGGCGTAGCAAACTCAATATCCCCTGTTCAAGGTATAAAAAGTTCATCAAATTTAAAACTTTTAACGCGCCGATTCAGAATTCAATATGTATGTGTGAACCCCATTCAATGGTGGCCGGACTCCTGTATTTCCACATTTCCCTAAACTTTTTTTATTTTATTGTTAATGTTTAATGTTTTTATGCATAACTTCTATAATTTCATTCTCTTTTGATTAGAAATAACAAATTAATTCAATAACTATTAAGAAACGATTTAGAAATTATTAAAAATTACTTTTTTTGATATTTTTTTGTTTTTAGTTAAAATTATGAAACAAAATATTTTATGTACTAATCTTTTTATGTGGTTTCTCTATGTAATCTTTTTCTTACTTTGAGTTTGTGTTTTCTTCAAACAGTTGCGCAAATTGATATAATGCCTCTATAGAGTTATAACAGGTTGCCCTTGTTTTTAGCTGTGTACTATCTTCAAAGCAAACTAACGTGTAAACAGGAAAAACAACTGTAGTAGTAATATTTACAGCAGAAATAAATACTTCGAAAACACGGCCGCTAATATTTTGCATAATGATTCTATCAAAAGCCTTTACATAAACTAAACAGTTAATCCGTTTATTCGTTCTCGAGCATTGAAAGTTCATTTTCTTTTGACCTATCTAACGAGTTCCTTGCTCATTGGGTTATTATGCCCGCATGTTTTACATTGGTAAACTTTTTGGGAGTATACATTTCCTACCGCCTTGATTGGATTTTTCCGGTGCATAGGCCCGGCTATTGTTTGCCACGCAGGTGTGAATGTATGCTTTGCTACAATCGAATGCATACATAGTTACATACATACATACCGTGCATATATACGTTGTGTTTTTTGCGTAAATGGAAAGGACCTGCTTGCCTAGCGGTCGCTTTTATTGATTTTTTGCCGTACCTTTGCTTGCGACGTTCATTTTTCCCACACATACATACACACATGTAAACAATCCTATAGAGAAGGTGTTGAAGTACAAATATGTACAAAAATACAACTCTAACGTAATCGCTTCGTTGTTGTTGCGCATTCAATAAAGCATTTGCACACGGAGGAGTTTTACCGTTTCTGATGCCTGTAGCTTCTGCATTTGATATTTATTGCTGTTTTTCTAATTCATTGCATTTTAATAGCTTAAGTGAAATTGAATAGTTCCCCATTGTTTGGCGCAATTCTATAGTAATCTTGGAGTGAGTATATATCTACGAGCATTCATGTTTGTGGGTTTGTTCCCCTTTTGTTTGGTTTGCAGGACAAATACACTTCAATAAATCGATACACAAAAGTCGAATGCTCTTTTCAAGGATGTGCATATGTCCACGTATTTACAAACAGACCTTGCGTAATCTGAGTATGTGCGAGTTGTAAGTACGGCTTCAAGGAAGCTAATAATGCTAATTTAACTCAGCATTGTAGTTTGTACGCTTTCGTGTGCAAATAAGGAAAGTTGTTTGCGGAAAGTTGAGTGTAAGAGCTAGAAACGATTGACTTTGTTGTTGTCAAGCACAGTAATTAGTTTTTGTTGTATATTCCCTTTTTTTCCTTTGTCGCTGCCATTGACAGTGCTTTGAAATAATTTTTGCCTCATGTAGTCTTATAGAAACTGAAAGGAATTAAACATCTACGGTGTTCAAATATATATCGCGATTACCTATAAAATAAAATTATTCATACTTACATACATAATATATATATTGTATAATACTATATAACAAATATGCATACTAAACAAATACCATTTTTCTTCCTCTTAAGTCTCCGACCTCAAGTACACCGACAATCAGCGCGTCATCATCCACGTGAAGGATGTCAATGATGAACCACCATATTTTATTAATCGTCCGTTGCCAATGCAAGCTGTCGTACAACTTAATGCTCCGCCCAATACACCAGTTTTTACATTACAAGCGCGTGATCCGGACACCGATCATAACATACATTATTTCATTGTACGTGATCGTACCGGTGGACGTTTCGAAGTGGATGAACGTTCGGGTGTCGTACGCACCCGTGGCACTGATCTTTTCCAATTGGATATGGAATATGTTTTATATGTGAAAGCTGAGGATCAAAATGGGAAAGTGGATGATCGCCGTTTCCAGAGCACACCCGAGGAGCGTCTTTCTATTGTCGGTGGTAAACGGGCACCACAATTCTACATGCCCAGCTATGAAGCAGAGATACCGGAAAATCAGAAGAAGGATTCTGAGTAAGTTGTAAAAATATTTTTCAAAATTTGACTGCAAGTAGATACCATACAATTCTTAACTTTAGTGAAAGTAATGCTCATCTAATTCGGTACATATTTATATCTCATATATATAGTTATATATATATGTATATTGAGCAACAACAAGTGATAAGCCCTAAATGTATATATGCAGATCCCTCGTTCGTTTAGTAGAACGAAACAACATACATTTTCAGGAATATAGCATCAGATAAAATATGACAAGGACTAGTCCATTAAAAGTGTGTGCACAAACCAAACAGATAGTTACTGAAATTTGATCTTCATATGTCAATTATCGTATATTTGACACATGTTACATTACGACGGGAAAAGTTTGTTCGGCGACCATTACTACGAAGAAAAAATTTACTAACGAGTTACAGAATCGTTGAAAATGTTGCATACATGATTTGTGGAGTCTATCTTTATCTCGAACAATAAATTTAGTGTCACAAAACATCCGGTGAAGGTCGCTAAGTCATCATAAACCCCATGCGAGTCGTCCATCCATTTCGGTTACCGTATACTTCCGATATAACGATAACATTGAAAAATTAGAAAAAATAACAGTGTTTTAAAATCGTCGTGTTGGTATCATAAATATATAAGAAGATTTCAACATCTCTCTCTCAGTAGTTTTATGTGGTACAAATATCGGGCTGACATGTTTATTAGCTGATGATTTTTCTCATATCCATGGTACGCAAAAGATGAAATGCAATATAATCACCAAGTTTTGCGCAGCAAACTTAAATAGTCCATTTCACAGAGCTAATCTCTATTTGTTATGGTCGAATGAAAAGCAAAATATCTTGTTGTTGGTATTGTAAAGATGATTTATGTAAATTCTGTTTGGTTCAGATAGTGTAGGTATTGTAATCGTCGCCATCTGATGGGAGGCCCAGTAAACGAGATTATTCGATTGGGTTGGGCCATAGGGATATTCCCTAAATTTTTAATACAATTTTTATAGTAAAGACATAATTTTTTTAGCTATTGAAATGAATTAAATTTAAAATTAAGACGCTTAAGATCTTCACGATTTACCTCTAACTTTTTCATCTCCTCAAACTTAACAGATTGAATATAAGAATTTGAGCCTTCCAATACTTAATAACAGTAATTAATTTTGATTTTAATGGCTGTAGGTACACTTTCCAAACGCAAATAAAATGTGTATCTTTTGTCGTTCTAGCCTGAATTACAAACATTTACGCCCTCAAAGCCAAGAATGTACATACACTCGGCAAAAAAAGTCTGCATACACGCTTATATCTTATTATCTTTTGTTAAAAAATATCTTTTATATACTAAGTTTTAGAATAAAATCATATGAAGTGCTTTATTACTAGTCTGCTGCATAATCCCATATAATTTAAAGCAGTAAAAATCTGATACCACAGTTTTATCGATAAAAGTGTTGGAAAGTCATAGATTTACTTGTTTTCGTAAAAGTTTGTTATTCAATTTAGAACATCGAATCTTGCCTAAAAGAAAACAAAGGGAAATAGTTAAACTTTTGGATGAAGAAAAACATAACACATTCGTTTATTAAAAGAGTAATAAAAAGTTACAAACGGCGATGTTGTATCTGCACTGACACGATTGGCAAAATTAACAAAAAGCAGGGTTAAATGGTCAAGTCGCACACAGGAAGTAATTCCTATCATAAGCGGCAAGTGCATAATGCTTTCGCCAAGGAGCACTCAAACAAGCCCCGGGAGTTTTGGCAAAAGGTTATTTTGTCCGATAAAAGCAAGTTTTGGATCTTTGGAATCGTACGATTTTATGGAGACAAACGAACAAGGCACTCGATAAGAAAATCTTTATGCCTACTGGTAAGCACGGTGGTGAAGAAGTAATTATATGGGATGGATGTTAAAGAGTCCACCATAGACAATGTATATCGTAATATCTTAAAAATAAATTTGCAACAAAGAGCGGAAGAATTGTGTCTTGGAAGTGACCACTATTGTAAGGGATAACGCCCCGAAGCACCCAGCCTAGACATAGTTAAACTTTGGTTGCTCTACAACGCTCCAAGCAGCTTCAAACACCACCAGAATCACCTCATTTGAATCCTAAAAAAGCACCTATGGAATTCACTGGAACTAAAATCCGCCAACACACAGATACCTTAAAGGATATGCTCAAGGACGTGCTGAACAAGGAATGGGCTCCCATCATTTCAACAGAAACCTCTGAGCTTGTCTATTTCTTGCTAAAACCTCTAGCAAGAAGTTTTAAAACGTTGGGGATAACCGACTTCCTATTAAATTTTATGAAGAATTCGGTGTAAAAATATCTTTGCTCGACTTATGTACCCTGTAAGCAGACTTTTTCTAACGGATTTTTTATTCGTCGGCATGTTTCGTTTTTGTTTTATATGTTATTGTCGGAAATTTAATTACTTTTAGTTTTATAAAATTGCATATTTAATATCCTTGAATGGATATCAAATAAATTGGTACGCAGACTTTTTTTGCTAAATGTGCATATGTAGAGAAATCAAGTTTCGTTAATGACAATATAATCCGGCAATTTGTCTTCTTATTATGCTGTGTGTACAATCTTCCTGACTAGTTTGATATTTCACAGCAGGGTAGCTATAAATACACTCGAGCTTACATACTTGTTCATCACTCAAGCACGCTTATATAAGGATAAGAATATACATATTGTAGAATCTTTCTATACCGAGCGATCCGCCTTCATACTGTATATAATAAAATATGCAAATTATATTCCAATAAAGTTGTGCAAGACGAAAATGTGCAGAAAAACAAATTGAGCCATAGAGAGAGGAGCACGTCAGCTGAGCAGCAGTTAGTCGAGCCAAGTTAACGGGTACAACTGAGTGACTAAAGCTCCGCTCATTGAAATTCCGGTAGGAAAACAACTGTCAAATGGCATTTCATATGAAATCAAATATGTAAACGGAAGGACACATAGAGATATATCCTGAATTATAAAAAAAAATATTTGCAAACAAATGCACAGGCAAGAAAAAGCACACACACTTGCTTAGAACTAGTTACGCACACGTCTTCAAACACGTATGTATGCATGAATAAATATTGTCAGCGTCACTCAGCGTGCTGGCACATTCCCGATTTATTTTCCATTTTATGAGCACTTTTGTAGCCAAAAAATGTGTGCGCTGATGGAAAAACTATTATAACAAATATTAAAATCATTGTACAAGCTTACATACTTATAAGCTTAAAACATCATATACTTACGTATAAATAAATATTAAGCTACTTTCGCAAACCCACCCACTCAATCATGCTTTCTTCTCTTTCAGCATCATCTCGGTGAAAGCGAAATCTTTTGCGGATCGAGAAATACGCTACACATTAAAGGCGCAAGGACAGGGTGCTGGTACATTCAACATTGGCCCGTCCTCGGGTATTGTTAAGTTGGCAAAGGAATTGGATTTCGAGGATTTACGACAGCCACACGTCTACTCGCTGATAGTTACCGCCACCGAGGACTCGGGTGGTTTCTCCACATCCGTTGAGGTAAGTAGATACACGTACATTCTTGCATATATATATTGTATATCATGAAAAGGAATCTACCTGCTGGTTGAATACTCGATATCGTTTGTATGTCTTTATTCGCAAAGCAGTTAAAGAATTTTGAGCTGTTTCATGCTATAAGCGGATGAGCAGTGGATGTGCATGCGTAGATATGAAAATAAATTTGTGTGTGGACAATCGTGTCCTGGATGCAGATGCACTCAAGTGTGTACTAAAATTGTTAAAAAGCACATTCAATGCTCATTTATCAATAATATCGACTAAAGGAGGGTAATAAAAGCGTGCAGTTCTTTTTTTTTTTTTGTTGGAAAAGAAAGGTTACACACCATATATACTATTTTTATGACGTGGTTGGTAAAAAAATGCAGTTCCTAGAAAGTATATTGTTGGGAAAATGTAGGTTTCAGTATTTGTATAAACAAATTTTCTGACACATTCTCAAAAAAAATTACATACTCGTATGAATGGTAAGTTGTGAGTGGACGCCGGTGTATATTACAGAACTTAATTCTCCTTCTTCTGCATACGTATTAAGATATATGTTCGATTCGTCACATTTTAGAGAGTGGCTAAACGAACAACGGGTATCAATTAAATATACTGGAATAATCAAATTGAGATAAAATAGCAAGCGTTTTAACCACTTTAATGAAGATTTAACTGCCTTTGATTTGCCAAGCAAACACAATATACCAGCTGTTCGAACAGACTGACGGCTTACGAGGAAATCTAACTTTTTAATGGATAAATACTTCCTTTGCATGACAAAGAATTATTTACTATTACAATTATTATTTATTTCAAGTCTTAAGTCAGGCAATGGAATGGATGGCATGTTTTCGAAAGTAAACAATTATCTCTCCGATCTTTCTCGCTTCTTCTTTGCAAGGAGCTTGACACTTTTCACTTATTCATCAACTAGACGAAGGTGTACAGGCTGGATCTTAAAATCCCAAGTGATGGCGTTAAAACTCCGACTGTCAACAACCCTTAAGATTTTAGGGGTTACACTTGACAGCTTGTGCTCCTTCACTCCGCATTTGACCGCGATTATTGCCAAAGTACACAGCCGCAACAAAATTACAAAGTGACTAGCTGGCAGCTTCTTCCACTCACATAACACCTCTCTCCGACCCCGTCGAAACAGCACTTTTCCTAGACCTACCATTATATTAATTAATTCAATGATAACTTGAATCTTACCACCCAAGCGGGGACTAGATAACCGCTACAACAAGCACAACAACAGCGAAAAAAGGAATGGATAACCGATTACACCATTTACAAACTTTCACGTACTAAAATCTCCCTTCTATCCCTTTATTGGAGCTTTCCCGTACACTTTCTTATGAAGAAAGAAAGGATTTATAAAGAAAGGATAGCAGAGAAATGACGAAAGTCTTTTAAATTTTAATGTATGACTAAACAAATTCGCATGAACTTTCCAATCTTCTCAAACCCGCATTCCCCCATCTTATTGATCGCCAGCAATAGTTTAGAAAAAGATCGTCTCAACTTCACTCGCGTATACAGTTCGACAGTATCAAATATCTAACATAACCACCTACGAAATCTATATTTATCCATGTTCTGCCCACTATAATATCCACACAATTATTTTTAGTATATTTAGGATAAGGAATAATTTTCATAATGTGTAATTTAAAATTTTTTCTCCCACAGTTAACTATTCGCGTAACGGATGTTAACGACAATGCGCCGAAGTTCGAGTTGCCTGATTACCAAGCGCACAACGTCGACGAAGACATACCGCTCGGAACTAGTATTCTACGTGTCAAAGCAATGGACTCTGACTCGGGTGCAAATGCCGAAATTGAATATCTAGTTTCGGATGATCACTTTGCGGTCGATTCGAACGGCATTATTGTCAATAATAAACAACTCGATGCCGACAACAACAATGCCTATTATGAATTCATTGTGACAGCAAAAGATAAAGGTGAACCTTCGAAATCTGGCACTGCCACTGTACGTGTCTACACGAAAAATAAGAACGACGAGGAGCCAAAGTTCTCACAGCAAGTCTATACACCGAATGTGGATGAAAATGCCGGACCTAACACACTTGTCACCACTGTGGTGGCATCCGATAAGGATGGTGATAATGTACGCTTCGGATTTGTCGGTGGTGGCACATCGTCTGGACAATTTGTTATCGAGGACATAACCGGTGTGATACGCTTACATAATAAGGCCATATCATTGGATCGCGACAAGTATGAATTGAATGTGACAGCCATGGATGATGGTTCGTGTTGTGTTAATGGTGATCATACCATACACACCTCCACCGCTGTCGTGGTAGTCTTTATTACCGACGTGAATGACAATAAGCCCGTGTTTAAAGATTGCGGCACCTATTATCCAAAAGTGGAAGAGGGTGCACCCAATGGCAGTCCTGTGATAAAAGTGGTCGCCACCGATGAGGACAAAGGCGTGAATGGACAGGTATGTACATAGTAGACCCTTGCAAGCTTAGTGAATGAATTCAATGCAATTGTATTTCAAATTTGTGTGCTGCCGTATGCCCTTGAGTGGTGTTTTAGAGCTGTGTGTCTAGCATTTAAGAAAACGCAGTCAATAATGGTTATAAAATATCCGCGATTTCACGTAGAACAAAGTAGAAGTAAAGATAGTGGTGAAAAGGGTGGGCAGTAGTATTTGAGTCGCGGCTGGGAAAACGGCTCCTTGAAAATAGCAAGCTATTAGTTAAACAGGACACAATATAAATTTCTTTACGGTGAAAACCTGTATTGTTGTAGTTATTCACCTTAGTTGGTATTGCATCAATTTATGTAGCCAGTTAATAAAGTCAAACATTAAATATGAGCCGAGCTAACTTGGTTCGAATCAACACCATTAATTTAGTGGTCGAGTGAATGAGCCACTAACCAAATACTCAAAGTGTACGCTCTCAGTATTTTATAAACACTCAAGCGATAACAATAGACTGCCATGGAAGCGAGGAAAGAGAAAGTCAGTATATTTGCCAGTAAGTGTACTTGACCAGGTTATAATGCTCTGTGAATGATTGGCCGCCAAAATGAAGAGGACTTGAGCGCGGTCATAGCACATTTTCTCTTTTGTTATGCTACTGAAATGTATTACCACAATTTTGTAAGCAAGTTAATTGTAATTTTTTATGCTTTTCTCAAACCTGGTAGTGAATTAATTTTGTCCTCGTTAGAGAAACCAAATCTAAGCATGCTCTTGCAATTAATGAGTAAATATTATGAAGAAAATAACTTACCCTACTAAGAGTAAAGTAAGAAGAGTGAAGTGGACACTCATACGATTTTTTATTAATTTTTTATGCCAACCATACATGAATTGGAATTTTTTGTGCCTTTAAATTTTACCATATATAGACTTAGATATCATATGTCAAAGAATCGTCAGCGCTTGTAAGATAATTTATATTATTATGCATCTAAGTAATAACAGTAACAATATAATTGAAATAAATCTCTTTTGGATTTTTCATTATACATCATTTAAAATGTGCTTTCTCCCAGGTCAAGTACTCAATCGTACAACAGCCGAATCAAAAAGGCACGAAATTCACAGTCGACGAAGAAACCGGTGAAGTATCAACCAACAAAGTGTTCGATCGTGAAGGTGACGATGGTAAATTTGTGTCAGTGACTGTCAAAGCAACGGATCAGGGAGAGCCCAGCTTGGAAGGTGTTTGCTCGTTTACAGTGGAAATCACTGATGTTAACGACAACCCACCATTATTTGATCGACAGGTAAATACGCATAAAATTTTCACCGCAAAGCATACCAATAAATAATGAATTCAATTGACAGAAATATGTGGAAAATGTGAAACAAGATGCCAGTATTGGCACCAATATTTTACGTGTCTCCGCCTCAGATGAGGACGCCGATAACAATGGCGCCATTGTTTACAGCTTGAGTGCGCCATTTAATCCCAACGACTTGGAATACTTTGACATACAAGCGGAATCGGGTTGGATCGTGCTGAAGAAGCCCCTTGACGTAAGTTATTCGTTTACCAATGCACATTTATAGATGACATTCCTTATTTTATAATATTTCGTTTAAACTTTTAATTTAAAATATTTGATTTGCTTAAACTAACAAGTATTTATACGGATGAATTTAGAAATTTTTATGTTCATACGAATTTTTGAGTTTTAACATTTTTTGTTTTGTTGTTTATCTAACATTTCGTAAACTGGCATGATTTAGGCGACAAAAGGAAAAGAAAACTTAAACAAAGCTCGCTAAATATTTAATTAAATTGTTTAAAGCCATAACTGATGCCACCTAAGCGTGGTATAGCCCATTAGTAATGCCTTAGTTTGACAAAATTTTTACATATACATTTAAGTAATTCTCTAAACAAAATTTGCAATGATTGGTATCTTTTGTTTCATTACAAATATTATTTGAGTTGTTTATTTTTTTACTATGCACCATTCTATGTTCCATTGAAAGTATAACTTTGAGTTTTTCACCAAACAGAAAATTTGTTATTCGATGTTATTCATGTAAAATTATATTATTTGATTTTTATTTCAATAGTATATAACACATAAATATCTTTAAGAGATAAACAAATTGAAAATGCATTCGAATGAAACTATATGCAGTGCAAATTTTTTTAAAGCATATCAGAAAAGAAATGCAAAATGTCTTTTCTGCTCATACAAGGCAAAAGTTATGCCAAAAGATTAAAGAAATATTAAATTTTTTGAATGTGAGTGCAACATCCTTAAGCTTACTTTCACTTTTTGGTTAGTTTATAGAAACTTTATTAAAAAGAGCAGAATATCCCTTGGTTTTTAGTTTTCAACAGAGAATTTTTTTGAATCGGAAACATTCTGTGTTAGAATTTTGGTTATAGTTTCCCAAATGCGCGCACGAAATCGGTGGCGGTGTTATATAATATATATACCAGAAAAATTAATAACAATAACATTAAAATAGATTTTTAACATTTTTGAAAACCCCATTGTTATATAGATCAGTTATATAATTAAAAAAATAGGTGAAAACTGTGCAACTTTGGTGTTTTTTGGCTCTTGCAGTGCTTAGTATGTAGTTTATAGCAAAGTTAGGTCAGCCGCTTTGTAAAGCAAGGTTGAGGTACTAATAAACTATAGATACACATTTATGTTTCAAAAATATATAAATGGTTGAGATTTAACATTTTTAATATATATAACAAAAAGTGACATTTTCTACACTTCAACAACACACACCAAAAACAACAACAATCACTAGAGACTTAACTGCGGCAACTGTTTTAAAAATGATGCTCATTAACGATGACATTTTTTCGTATATCGTATTGAAGCTTATTTCAAAACAGGCATATTTGCTAATGAAAAAATAATAATCAACACATTTGCTTTTGTTTTTGAAATGATTTTTTGTACTACTTACTTAATTTTGTGATTAATACATATTTTTGCTAGTAAGTAGAAACTAACATTTTGGTTATACTGGATTTTTGTACAACTAAAATCGTATTTTTGCCATTTTTTATCACTGCAGGTGATATTTGAAATATTTTCGTTTACGCGAAAGTAAAGTTCGGCGGGGCTAAAACTTTTTTGAAGGTCAGCCAAAACTTTCGTTGTTCAAAAAAAAGTTTTTTTCTACATCGTAAATGCATGCGTACAAAAGGAAGGGTACAAACATATCTCAATAAAACAAAAATGTACAAAAAATATAAAAGTTTATACCGATTTTTGAGTGTTAAATTGTAGTCTGTACTTTTCTGTTTCGTTAACTGCACCTTTTGATGTTACATTTAGTTATATTCAGTTACATTATTTTATAGTTTCTTTTTGGTTAAACATTTGTTATTTTTGAATATTTAATAAACTCAATAACTAAAGCATTTCTCAATGATTTCTTTCATATATGTTTAAACTGTTATGAATATACAACAATTGTGCGTTACCTCGCGCTGCATCTCAATGCAGGGTTGCTATCCAGTAAGTACAATGTTTGTACGCATATGCTATCGCACTTCCGTATACAGCTGTACCTGCCCCGAAAGTGGAAATGCTCATATATTTCAATGCTTGTCGTAACTGTACTTAGTCTCCGTTTCATAGTAACTCACCAAACCGTTAAATATGGCTAATCAAATAATGATCCATCTCATCAAATCTAATTTCGTTCGTAGACACAGTAGTCGATAATTATTGGCGCTTTTGGGCGATTATTTAAAATAAATCTTATGTATGCTACAGTGTGTCTCTGGCGTAATTATTTGTCTGGAAACACTTATGTCTAGCCTAATCATAACATAATTTATACTCTATTGTCATAGAATCAGTAAGTCAAACAATGAGTTCTATAATGAAGGTCTGTAGATGTTAAGTCATATTTATATTTAAAGCAGAAACTCTTATTACTAAACTATGGTAAATACATATCTGAAGCTGAGAAGTTCATGTGGTTAAAAGCACACATTTTGTCTTAAATTCAGTATTCATTCATCGAGGGTAATATACCGATTATAGTGATCGGTCGATTTTTCGATAAAATTTTTGTAGTAAAAAATATAATATAGTTTCAGAATAAATCTCAGACTCGGCACTTACATGTTTATAGTCTTTAATAATATTTCCAGTGAGCTTTTAATGATGTCTGAGAACAGTAAAAAGTCACTGATGACCAGTGCGACATCCAGAATCGAACGATTGTGAGTTCGCACGACACCTACCTTGCACAGGGCTTTCGTATATGTGCAAATATATTTTTGAACGATGTGCTCTTCATGTTTGATCATTATCATTAGAGTGTCGATCTATCTCGATTTACTTCATTTTAGAAAACCATGAATGGAAACTTCACCTGGCACCAAAATTTAAACTATAAGACCTATTCAGGTATTTCAATAATATGCTATCGGTTGTACCTTTGTACTTTAACTTTCTTTATAAAACTGTCAGACTCAAACGTATATCTAATAGTAATGGCATACTAATTTAAATTCTACACAAAAAAAAGCTTCTGTGAGTAAAAAACCTCCAGACCTATATTACGATAGTACAACAATACGAAGCTATATCATTTAAAAATTTAAGACTCATTGTAACAAAGTCAAAATAATCGTAATTATCTCCGGACAAAACGAATGGCCCAAAATGAAGCTGAAATTTACAAATACAAGTACATAATCATTGTTTCATAAGGATAGCTAAAGTATTTCTCACTAATATCAAAATTATTTGTTTAACATCATTATTTGAAAACTTCTTTGCTCTATTTTAACAATTTTATGTTGAAAAGTGAATTTATAGTCAGCTAAACAGTCAGGTGCTATTACTTTAGGCAGTCTAAACACCCACTTTGATTTACCTATTTACCTTTAAGCGTTTGCTTTGAAAACGCTAAAAATATCAAACTATATTAACTCTTTTCCAATTAACTTTTTCATTCCTTTTGAACAAAAAGTTATGCCTTACGGCATTGAGCCTTCAACCACTTTTGCTCCGCAAAATCGCCTATTACGCCTTTATTATCGACTCTCTGGTCCTCCTACGTGATTTCCCAACGGTATTGATATGAAAATCTCTCAAATAATTGTATATTGAGTTCAAAATATTGGCAAACAATTATATTTATATAAACGTTGTCTTGTTGTCTTGATAAACATTTACCAAACTAATTTCATTTAAGTTTTTTTATTTATTATTGTTTACTGTGATGTAATTAGTACATATATAATTTGTAACTTTTAGTTTTATTCTATTTGGTATGCTTATATAATATTATATACAATTGATTACGCCTAAATGACGTGCGTAGAGGCAGATTGCTGACTTTCATTAGCAAAAGACTGATGAAATACACAATTTAACCATCGGACTAACTAATTTAACGCAGTTAACTATTCAAAATTTGAACGGTTGTATTTAACAACAATCAGGGAACGTATCTCATACGTTCTCTGCAGTGGCACAAGTTTATCGTAAAATCAAATTAGTCCAGACACACACCACACACTAACGAATCATGGACTAACACACATAGTCACATTAACCGTCGAAAAAAGTAACGTTAGCTGAGAACTTTCGTGTAAAAAATGAACTTAACTGAAAGCTCCTTCATACATGTATCACCGCTATTCGGTCTAAAATAAATATAATTCCGTTGTAACCTAAGCGATACTGCTAATAAAATAACTCATAAGTCAATTTCTTACAGACTGTTAAACAATTTTTACGATTTTTCATAACATAATCACAAAAACCCATTTTTTCTTTCTACGCATCGACAACACTTTGACACCACACTGTTAACATATTGAAACAATATCGTACGGTAATATATAACCAATACACACACACATAATAGCGTGACCGTTATCGTTTACGGGTGCGCGCCTCGGATCGTGGTGAACCACCATCCTATGCCGATGTCGATGTTGAATTAGATGTAGTCGACCGCAATAACAAGCCGCCAATATGGGATAAGAGCATATACGGTCCAATACATATACGTGAAAATGTCACTGTGGGTACGGTTGTAACATCGGTGAAGGCAAGGTTTGTATATATAGCGCTAACTGTACACAAGCGTCGACAAGCTGCATAACATACATATGTGTAGATACTACTAAACAAAGTGCTACTTACCAGCAACAAAAATAACCAAATAATTCAAATAATTACCTGTATTGTTAATATTTCCATTACGTAACTAAAGCTTGTCGAACTTACTTACAGAACATATACTACTATACACAAATAAATTTCCTTTTCATACTAACTTTTTAGTACCACTAACTTTAACATACTTTTAAACTTCATATTCTAATGTAATCTTAACTGATATTGGCAAGCAACTAACGGCAGCTTTTGCGTGAACGTAAAGGATTTTTTGTATCAAATTCCCCAAACAGGGTTATTTTTGTTGGTACTAGCGCCGTACGCTGAGTGCAAAGGCCAACACACCACTTCACATTCGAAACATTGCTGAGCGGTGAGCGTCTAAAACTGTCACTACTGTGGTGTAATATCCTTTGCATGGCAGTACTGGCCTTCTTGCTAGCTGATAACACCAACCCAAAGTTACGTTCACAATGGATTTTTGAATTTTGTTACTGCCTTAAAAAATGAAAAAAAAAACAAAACAAATATGATTATAAATACGAATAGTATTAAATGCATATTAATTTCACTGCTCTCTCTCCTTGCTCTCAACGTTGATTCCTCGCTCCAAACAAATTTAAAATAACAAAGAAAATCATTTTTTTTATTGAACACGTGTTTCCCACACATCCTAAATCGAATTGGAAATTCAAAAAATTTACGCTTCGCTCCGAAACCCAAGTCATCGTGTGATGCCGTTTCATCTTATGAAGAATGTTTACACAAAAAATTCACACTCCACTCATTAATTATTTAAATAATACATATGTATAACCAATATATGTAATTTGAAGGTTATGGTTGGGTTTGGTAAACTAATAACAGCTGTCGGAAAGGTTATGTGTTTTAGGTATCTGGAATTTAGCGCTTTTTTATTGAGGAAATGCATATAATCATACTATTTACTATGTTTAGGCTTTTATTAGGGTTTACTTATGCCACCTCCGGTTGTACTAACCAAGTTTCAGGTAACTAATTTGTTTATTAACGTTGTTTTAACAAAAAGTGTTAAAAAAACAATGCCATTGAATGCTTTGATTTGTATAAACTCTGTACGCATTTTTAGTGTTTTCTAGTTTCATTGGTACAAGTGAACTAATTTTAAGTGAATATTTACAAAATATGCAATATTCTTATTATGCACAAACGTATTGTGTTCATTTTCTTTTCATAGTTTTGCTTTTCACTTTTTTTATTATAACTCTCAATAATTTAAAAAAGCTCTTTTCTTCAATATGCATATGCTAATAATTAGTAAGCAAGTATTTATAATACGGTGTACAACTTATTTTTTATTATTTATTACAATTTTAGTTTGCCGTATATAGGATAAGAAATTTGCGCATTTTGCTAATATCCTATATTATTTCTAAATTGTGATGAGTTTTTATTTTTCAAATTTTATATTTGATTTCTCTATTAAAAAGTTATGGGCTAGGATCGAGACAAAAGCAAAGCGCATTGCTTTTAACGAAAATCAACGAAAATAATTTGCACTGCCTTAGAAAATATAGTAAAAATTTATACATACAATAAATATTTTTGCTTTTCACCACTTTGAGTGAAATTTTAATTTAAAAACTTTTTGTAATTTTTTATTTTGGAATTCCATGTATATTTTTTGTTTGTTTGCAAGTTAGCATAACTCTTATGTGCATTATTTATCCGTTCGGTTGTTGGCGCTTTTGATACTTTTTTGGTTAAAGGTATATTTTTTAAGCAATTTACCAACTTAATAACTCAACAACTTTGCTAAAGTTTATAACTTATACGCAAAAATATACATAATTTTTGTATTTTGCCCTCTTTTTTATAATTTCAAAACAAACAAAAAATCAAATCGTTAAACCATAACCACATTTTTGCGACGCTTCATTAAAATAATCATAAACGATAAAATGAATGCTATAAATTTTTGAATACACGATTTGAAACATATGCCAATGTGACACACAACGCGCCTGATATGCTACTGTACGAATTTATATGTGTGTGTAACAATAATCCAAATATATATATATGTATATGTATATGTGTGTGTACCATACAGCGTGAAACATATAAATTAGAGGCAATGGCGCAGGACAAAGGCTACCCGCCGCTGTCGCGTACCGTCGAGGTGCAAATCGACGTAGTCGATCGTGCCAATAATCCGCCCGTATGGGACAATACGGTGTATGGGCCGATTTACGTCAAGGAAAATATGCCAGTCGGTGGGAAAGTCGTCTCGATCAAAGCCAGGTCTGTTTGAAAAAAAAAAAAAAATGCAATAACTTTTTTTTATGAAATAAACATAGCACTAGAGTTGGTTTTGGAAATTGACAACTAAAATTAAATTTTATATTAAATATGTATTTTATACATATATATAATATATTAGTTAGAAAATGTTTCTGTTTGTATTTGTATACATACGTTTAACTTTTATAATTAATTACTACCATTTAACTTATTTGCCATTTCATACAGTTTTTAATTTTTAAGCTCATTCATATCTGTTTGTTGCCGAATTTATACGTGCTGTCTCGTCTAAGTTGTTTGTGTCTGTAAACTGTTCTATGTCAGCTGCACTTCTTGATCCATATCCTTAAACTACTTCCTCACTGAAAAAATTATGTTTTGATCAAATTATCGGCGAAAATTTAAGCAATTAGTACCAACTAATAAACACCATAAGTAATTACGCGGATTATTCTCGACTGTGACAACTGCAACCGCTTCGTAAAAATACGAGAAATGACAGAGACAGAGAGTAAATGAGAGGTGGTGAGAATAGCATTAAAGGTGACACTGACGGTGAGAGCGAAACTGACAGTTAGACTGATATATACAGTACGGTTACTACGCACAAATGGTGCGGTCAGTACGGTGATGACATCCAAAACAGTTTATAGAGCAATAGCACCAAAATTGATAGGCTCAAAACCGATTTAAAAACGCTTATTTTTATAACCGATGGTTTTGATCGAAAAATACTTGAATATCTAATGCCCACCACGGCCTCTTAATTCCATTCCAATTATACCAATTTATCATATTCCCATAAACCGCGCACTTCACACACAACACACTCATGCCTCTGAAACACCTAGCACCGAGCACAAAGCACTGTCAAGCACAAAAATCAACAATAAGCAACCACATTAAGCACACTCACTACTTATGTATATACATACATATATATACGAGTGTAGAGTATGTACCTTTCTAGTTTACATTAGGCGTTTATGTATTTGCACAACCGCTAGAAATGTGCATAAGCACACCGACGCAGCCCACCAACAAGCATGCACCACACATTCACATAAGCACACGCTTGCCACACATTAGTTACATGCAACTGCTTTGACATATTTATGCGCACAAATATATCTATATATGTATGTATATGTATACCTAAATATGTAAGTAACTATGCATTTAAACAAAATTATAACTTATTATTCACCATTGTTTACATTATGCACCACATACACCTTCGTTTTTTTCATCAGCGAATTAATTGCAGAAACTCATACGCCCACGTGTTTCCCCGCTTTAGTAGCATCTTGTGCCCCCAGTAGCTAAGTACCACGCCTACCTCGTGCGACCGTTGAATACAGCGCTAATGACACTTTTTCCTTCCATTCGTTTGCTGACTTTTTATACTTAACTACCTTGCATCTTTGTTTACCAGCCGCCCCACACAACCCCGCTCTTTTCACGATCTCTTCTTCAGGCCAATATGGTATTAAAGCTCTTAACTCTTAATTAATTAAAGAGGCAATGAGATATGAGCACTGCTAAGCTCGCCAACGCGGTGAGGCCACGTACATATATGCGTGTATATGTGGCAACATATTCAGTAATTTCACTCATAAATATGTATAGCATTTAAACGTTTTTTATTTATTCTGAAAAGTGAAAATATACTGCGCACATTTGCACTTACGCCCGAACTGCGTCTGCGGTGAAAAACTTTTTTAATTTAAACATGAATAGATAGCTTTGCTTAGACACGGTGTTGCAGCAACAGATGTGCGTAGTAGTATACAAAGGATAAGTAAATTGTACTTGGAGTATATATTTGTTTAAATACATTAAATATATATATATATTATATGTATAATGAGAATGACAGATAGTGAAAATGTGTGTTTGCTCGCATAAATATTTTGCATTCTGCATTTCACCCTGAAGAATTTCTAACTCTGACTCACACAAATGGTCACTAATGTTACCCTTGAGAGAAATCTAGTCCAATCGATAACTGGATCCTAATACGGTCAGTCGATACAAATCCAACAAAATAAAAGCATAACATTTATTTTTGCACTTTTTCCTTGTATTTCACCTATTTTTAGTTATAATAAAATAGCGCTACAGAAACTCAAGAACTATTAAATAGCGACATAATTTATAACGCCATTATTTAAGTATGTAATTTGTCATAATGCTCTAAAGTAGATTTATCAGACAGGTTTGTCAGTTCCTATCGCTTTGAAATTAAACTAGTTTTTATGCCATATTTCGATTTTATTATTGTTTAAACATAAATGTCGACAAGGATATACATCGAATATTATGATCTCCCAACTTTCGATAACATTCATGCGATTTTGTAATAATTTCCATTGATTTATGACACGACTATGAACATGTTATTATGAGATATTAAGATTACGTAGATTTTTCGAAGTTTTCGTTTGGTATGCATTTCATCTGACTTATAAAAAATCTAATTAACAGCATCTCGTCCTAGCGCCGAGCCGGATAACACTCATCAAACCACTTTCTATTAAGGATCACTTTTTATCACGGAATGGTTTTTTTACATATCACACAAATCCGTTATCCGACGGCAGTGAAATTTATAAATGTACATTTCAAAGGTTGGGTCTAATAACCTGACGCTCTTTCATAGAAATTATACAAATTTTGATTGACAAATACGGCCATGAACATATTAATATGTCAGTAATTTTCTTGCTGATTTATGCTCGAGAAAAAAGTACTCACCAACTTGATTTATATGGTAACTACACAGCACTATTTATTCGAGCTTGTAACTCACAGAAGAAAACGATGGAGATCCTATAAAATATACACATATATAAATGATCAGCGTGATGAGCTGAATCGATTTAGCCATGCCCGTCGGTCCGTCTGTATATACGCGAACTAGTCCCACAGTTTTTGAGATATCGATATGAAATTTTGTCCTTTTCTCCTCAAAAAGCTGATCTCCTTTTGCAACCGCCGAATTCGGACTATTATAGTATATACATACATAGCTACCCTACACGGTGTTCAATCAAATTTATGTCCTTATAAAGAAAACTTTTTCATTTGGCGAGATGTCTTCACGAAAATTTGCATGAATTATTATCTAAGACAATATGAAATCTCCGTAGAAGTTGTTCAGAATGGATAACTACATACTACAGCTGTCATACAAACTGAACAATCGAGGTGAAGTTCTTATATGGAATCTTTTATATTTGTTAAGAGTAGTATTATACTTCGGTGCAACCAAATTTAACATTTTTTCTTGTTTTATTTTAAAGCTTTGGTTTTGTAAAGACTTCATTATTATATCCGAAAATAATTATCTAGTAAGAAACTTTCTTTCTAAGCATACACGACTACGAAGAGCACAAGCACCATTATCCTCACTTAATAAGTAAATGCTAGACTATCGGCAAATATTCGTTTAAGCTACTAGTCTGTACTCACTTAAATCTAATAATAACCGCACTGAAATGCTATGAATAGCAAGTAGGTAGCTCTAAGCATGCACAACAGAAGCGCCGCACAAAAAAGCCTGTAAAAGCACTCAAATAAGTTTTGTTTATTTAATCAATTTTGAAAAGTTTATATTTTCTTTTTGTAAGTAAAAAAATTGATGATAAGAATTCTGAAGCTTTACTTTGAAGTAATATACATAGTTTCAGTTATAGCTTACAAACCATTTATGAGAATTTTTGTAGAGAAGCAGCTAGTGTTTACATATTTAATAGTGACAAGTATGTATTGTTCATATAGTTGAGAGAGTGGTGAGAAATATAAATGTATAAAATAAAATATTTTTTTATAATATTTAAATATGATAAGTTTAACAAATGTTAACCAAACTATTTTTATGACAGTCATTTATGAGCGAATGATTATGTGCATGTGTGTGTGCTGACGGGGGTTTTACTGCATAGTAGTTGGATTTAGAGCGTTTAACGTGAGTGCGTATGTGGTTATGTAACACACTTACGTAATAATAGCGCATACACTCGCTGATAAAGCATACTTATGGGCGCATATCACGGCAAAACCGTACCGCGGAGGTCATTCAAAGCCATTAGAAACCAAAAAAAAAATAAACGAAGACAACAAAACAGCCATTAAGTGCTACTTCTTCACACGTTTTTTCGCTTAGGCATGCTGCAACGGAAATATGAGTGTGCGGTGATTTTTCCGTTTGTCGGTGAATGCAGCGGATAATACGGATGCGCTGGGAAAGTGATGCCTTCCTTTCAGACGATGCTCGCCCATCTGTGCGAGTGTGGGTGGAAATGGCGCGTTTGAATTTTCGCTTTTATTTCATTTTATTTTTTATTTTGTGCTTTTTGTTTTCACTTTACTCTCTTTAAACAAAAAATTTGAAATATTTTTTTTTTTTCGTATACGTTGCATGCACCGACTTCTCTATTGTTGTCTGTGCATCTGCGGAAGCTGACGTTAGGCATATCCGTGGCATTTTTTTACTATTTTACCACATTAAACGCGCTATGCCTTGTGGCATGCAACAATAGCTGGGTGGAAAAACGCTCAATAGCGGCAAAGACTACTTATGAAAATATTATTACGACTATTATCACGACACGTCGGTGATCTTTATGCCGCAAGCCTGTATTCGCAATATTCACTGCCAACCACAACCACGTTACCACGAAATGTGTGCGATACTTTTGCTCTTGCAGCAGCGCATACTTGCATACTCCTTTGTGTATGCATAATATTTAACGGTGTTAACAAATGTTAACATCGTTTTGCCCCACAGTCAACATCGTGTTTACTTGCTATTATAATAATGCGCCTTGTTATATACATATGTATATATGTAATGCAAGTTAGTATCTTTGTGAACACACATACTGAATTGTTTTCACTGCTTTGCATCACACACAACTTGTACACTTGTTTAGAAAACAAAAACGACATTTATTTATCTACAAGTATAATGTTGCATCAGCTTCTGAAAGAAAAAC